TCAATTAAAACTTACTGTCACGGCGAGGGTTTAGGGTTTAGGGTTTAGGGTTTAGGGTTTAGGGTTTAGGGTTTGGCGGTTTCGGTGGCCGGGGGCAACCACCCCCTTCCCTCCCTGAAAGCGAAACCCAGCAAAACAGATACGAGGGTTTAGGGTTTAGGGTTTAGGGTCTGTAGCCATTGTAGCTTAGGGTTTAGGGTTTAGGGTTTGCAGCCGTTGCACATTAGGGTTTAGGGTTTACTCGTTGCTGAAAGCAAAGGTGTAGTGTTTAGGGTTTAGGCAGGACTGGACGTTAGGGTTTAGGGTTTAGGGTTTAGGGTTTACGCGTCGCTGATGAATTTGTTGTAGGGTTGTCTCTCGCGACGCCTCAACAGAGACACTCCAGAGGCCTCTCTATCTTTTTTTAATTCTTCAATCCGCTTTGCAATGATCTGCACGCAAACCCTAAACCCTAAACCCTAAACCCTTGGTTAGGACAAGGAAGCAGCAAGCAGCAAACTGCTGCGCATCTCTATCAGCAAATTAAAAACCCTAAACCCTAAACCCTCCTACTTCCTTCTAGGGTTTGCTTTTGCCTGCACCAAAGCCGCACCGAGAGCCCTTAGGGTTTAGGGTTTAGGGTTTAGGGTTTAGGGTTTAGGACCTCTGGGGTTTCATATTTTTTAACGCAGCTTCGCGCAGTCTTAGCCAAACCCCGACACCGAAGAAAAGTAATTGTTGAGCTCCGCATACACTCCACGTAGTCATCTAAACTCTCCCTAAACCACAAACCCTCATAAACCCTAATAAACCCTAAACCCTAATAAACCCTAATAAACCCTAATGAACCCTAATAAACCCTTGTAAACCCTTGTAAACTTTAGTCAACCCTAGTAAACCCTAGTAAATCCTAATAAGCCCTAATAAACCCTACTAAACCCTTGTAAACCCTGATAAACCCTAAGAAACTCTTGTAAATCCTACTAAACCCTAGTAAACCCTAATAAGCCCTAGTGAACCCTAGTAAACCCTAGTAAACCCTAATAAACCATTGTAAACCCTAATAAACCCTAATAAACCCTAAGAAACTCTTGTAAACCGTAAAACGCTCTTGTAAAGCCTTGTAAACCCTAATAAGCCCTTGTAAACCCTTGGGCATACACTGTAAGGACCGTAAACCCTAAACCCTAAACCCTAAACCCTAAAGTGCAATTGCTTGCCTGCATTTGTCTCTGATCTCTCTGCCGATCACTTCTTTGATTTGTTTTAACTCTGCTTTCTCCAGCGCCTCAACTTCTTTGATTTCAAAGAAGGAGACGCGAGCAGCGGTGCGGCGAGAGACCACAGCAGGATTTAAAGGGTCGTCAAGGAACAACTGCTGCTGCTGCTGCTCTTGCTGCTCTTGCTGCTCTTGCTGCTGCTGCTGCTGCTGCTGCTGCTGCTGCGACTGCTGCGGCTCTTGCTGCGGCTCTGCTGATGCAGGGTATTTCCTCTCCGGGGGATTGCGGATGTGCTCCGGTCGACGGATCGCCGGAGACAGCCAACTCAGCATCTTGCTGCTGCTGCTGCTGCTGCTGCTGCTCCTGTTGCTGCTGCTGTTGCTGCTGCTGCTGATGCAGCGGTTCCTGCTGCTGCTGTTGCCGCAGCCTGTTCTTCTGCTCTTGCTGCTGCGCCTCCTGTTATTCGCGTTGCTGCTGCTGCCGTTTCTGCAGTGCCTTTCGGGTGTCTCCAGCTGCAGCAGCAGCTGCTGCTGTCGACGGATCGCCGGAGACAGCCAACTCAGCATCTTGCTGCTGCTGCTGCTGCTGCTGCTGCTGTAGGTGCTGCTGTAGCTGCTGCAGTTGTTTATCTGCTGCTGTTTTTGTTGCTGTCTTCGCAGCCCAACGCCCTCAATCTTCTCTCACTGATAAGGTACTCTCACCCATCCAAACCCTAAACCCTAAACCCTAAACCCTAAACCCTTGCCGTGATCGAAGTCCTTCGACAGCTAGCTAGCTAGCTAGCTGGTGCAGCAGAGAGCCTGGCTAGCTGCGTATTGCATTTGCTTTGTTTATATATCTCAGTGTATGCATATGTGTGTATGTGCTGCTGCTGCTGCTGCACATTACTGCTGCTGCTCTCTGCTGCTTCTGCTGCTGCTGTCTGCTTCTCTCTGCTGCTGCTGCTGCTGCTGCTGCTGCTGCAGGAGGTAGAGGAGAAGCTGCAGCAGCTCGTTGCTTCGACAGCAGTGGTGTTGTTTATGAAGGGGAGGCCGGAGAGTCCTCTCTGCGGCTTTTCTTCTCGCGCTGTTCAGCTGCTGGAGGCAGCAGGGACAGAAGAATATACATTTGTAGACTGCAGCGTGCCTCAGGTGCAGCAGCTGCAGCAGCAACTGCAGCAACTGCAGCAGCAGCTGCAGCAGCAGCAGCAGCAGGAGCAGCAGCAGCAGCAGCAGCCGCAGACACAAGAGAAGCAGCAGCAAGGGGACCAACAGAAAGAGCAAGAGCAGCAGCAGCAGCAGCTGGTGCAGAAGCTGCAGCAGCAGCTGGAGCAGCTGCAGCAGCTGCAGCAGAAGAGGCAGCAGCTTCGTGCTGCTGTTGCGCGTTTGTTTCATTGGGCAACGCTGCCGCTGCTGGTTGTTAGAGGCAAGCCTATAGGAGGTGCTGATATAATGCAGCAGCTGCAGCAGCAGCAGCAACTTGCTGCTATCATTAGAGGAGAACAGACAAACTAATAAACTAATAAACTAATTATTTTTATTTATTTATTTTTTTATTCATTTAAACAAATAAATATATTTAGGCTTTTTGCTTCTCGCGGGCTGAGTTATATGCAGACAACAAATGCAAACGCACCTGCTGCTGCTGCTGCTGCTGCTGCTGCTGCTGCTGCTGCTATATATATTTATAGATGTGTATATATATTAATATACTTAAATAAATAAATAAATAAATATATATATATATATATAAATGTATAGATTAATATATATTTATATAGATATATATAATGTGAACAAAGACAGCAAACAAATAAAAATTAAAAGACAGACAAAATTTATTGCGAT